GATCTCAATAAGTTATGTCATATTGGAATCGAGTCAAGAGGTCGTCGACGGTATCTTTGATATGCAGTAGCACTCGATAGGATCTTGAATTCAAATCTGTCATATAGTATGGACAAATAAATGATTGGCCAAATAAAATGCGCAACTCAAGTATATCATGTTTCATTTTAACAAGTTATGTTTTGGACTTATAATCCATGGATCAAAATATAATGTCTGTGGGGTAGGACGAATCATTGTGTGAAAGTATAGCCGTAAGATATAAAGTACGGTATGTGTCTTGAGCATAATTTTTTTTTTTGCAAAAGTCCTGATATTATTAAATTGAGATAGTACTCTCTTGTGGCGGATAAGGCTTGTTAAGTCTGACAATAGATGATATATCTGAATATGTATAATGAATGTTTGTCATGTCTAGCCATATGATGAAGGTTATATGAAAATTCTTGAAAGATTTAAAAGGTCTTAGTAATTCCATTGAGTATCCTAATGATTGTGAGATTGCTTAATAGAAAGAAAGATCAATTTCGATCTCATTAAAATGATTGAATAATATCATGTATTAGTGGAATTGATGCATATACAAATTATTGATTATGCACAATTGTATAAAGGATACATCAAAGGAGACCGGACAAAATATGTTTCACCAGAAATATTTCCACACATGATCTTCAACAAAATGGTGAGATAGAAGTACAACAAATCAGTTCAAGTGATAATCTCACTAATTTATTCACTAAGGCATTGCTAACATTAACGTTTGAGAAGTTGAGATACAAGACTGAGATGCGCCGTCTCCGAGATATCAAGTGAAGCTTTCATAGGGGGGAGTGAAATACGTGTTGTACTCTTTTCTTTAACCATGGTTTTTTCTCTATTGGATTTTCTTGGTAAGATTTTTAACGAGGCAACATTCAAAGTGTATTATGAGATGTGTGTACTCTTTTTCATTTACTAGGTTTTCTCCCACATGGTTTTTTCTAGTAAGATTTTAATGAGACACATTATCTGTGGACATCCAAGAGGGAGTGTTATAAATTCATTGAATGAGTAGATTGTCCATTGAGTTAATGTATGCATAATTATTCATATTCCCTAGGTTCTATTAACCTTTTTAGATAAGAATGTATCTATTTATTATGGTACTTAATATGGTGACTTTTGGAGTGATTTCTCGACCTATAAATACGATTGTTCTTTCACCATTATAATGACAGACGAGATAAACAATGTTTGAATAAGATGATCTCTACAGTCTACTCCCAATATATCTTTGTCTATATTATTTTCAGTTTATTACTTATGTTTTATAACATATATCTAAATTTATGTAACATAACTCAAATTTTTAGGAGTCAAACAATTCACAATAAAAGCTCTTTAAATTAATATTATCAGAATAACGAAATACTATTATTTTGTAGAGATATTATTTTATCAAGAAATTAATATTTATTAGAGAAAAGACATAAAGTCATCACTGAAGTTGTTACGTATTTTTATAAAGACACCTTAACTTTGAAAGTGTCCTATCACCCCACATAACTTTTTAATATCTTCGTAAATGGGTCATTTTGACTCATTCCTTCATCTGGGTTGACGCGCGTGATGCTCACTCTTTTCAACCCATTTAGCCCGACCCGATTCTTTACTAAAGTAGAAAATTCTTTTTGTCTTTGTTATTTTTCAACTTTCCAAGTTCTTGATATTTTCTTCTTTCTCTTTCAAGATTCTTGGAGGAACAAGAAATTGAATTTGATATTATCGATCAAAATCTAATCACAAGATTTATGAGGGTGTTCCACCCCACTATGACAAGATTAAAAAGATGGTTATTCTTGATGCTTAAAAGGTATTGAGTCTCCAAGCTGCACAAAAGTAAGATTAACAAGATAGCCAAGCTTCTCTTGGGGAAGCTTTCATCAGAGGTTGGATGGCGCCATTTTTGATAAAATCAAAGAACTCGAGAACAAGAGGAAGAGGAAGGAGAGAGCTCATGTAGTATACGATAGGAGAAAGAAGATTGATAAGTCATCTAAATCTCGACTTTTTTCTTTGTTACATTGTCTTTCTGAGTGGTGTATTTTCAATTTAGCATTGTTTCTCCGACTCTTTTATCATTCATTATTTTCTTTAACGAAATTGAATCTAACACTTTAAGTGACCCAGAAGAAAAAAATCATTTTACTGAAAATTAAAAGAGAAAATGAATTCTTATCATCTTGCGTTTCGGGAAGATGATGAATTCGTCAAAGAGAGTACCAATGTTGATCTTGTTTTGGAAAAAATAAAGAAGATGAAATCATCAAAAGTGGGTTATCAATGGCTCTTTTGAGTTTTAATTTGGGGAAGATGATGTAAATTAATAAAATATTTAATTATAGAGAAATAAAGTGACACGTGGCACTTCTAAACTGGTTAATGACATTTAAAACATTACATCACGCTTCTCATGTGCGTGGTCACAGCGCAGAATAGAGAATGGGTCAAAATGGCCCATTTACAAAGATATTAAAAAGTTTTGTGGGGTGATAGGACACTTTCAAAATTAAGGTGTCTTTATGAAAATACGGGACAACTTCAGTGGTGAGTTTATGTCTTTTCTCTATTTATTAATTTAAAAAATGTTTTTAAAATGTAATGAAAGTTAATTTCGATTTGCTTAGGGATTAAGCCTTAAGAAATTAAAATGAATCATCTTGGGAAAACAATATATGAATTTGAGGTCATGATTAATAAACTCAGTAACCACAATAAAATGAACTTCACGAACCTATTAGATTACTTGGATAAAAATAATACATGTTTAAAGGTGTAAGAACTCAGAAGAAATTATGGATAATATTAAAGAAAACATTGTTAATGACAAAGTTGAAGACAATACAATACGTTCGGAACCAGTTACACATTAAAAAACACTCATCCCATCTAGAACTCTTTACAAATTCCTAGTGCAGTTCGATAAATCAATATTATAAAAACGTTCGGATACAATAAGAAAAGTTAGAGATGAACTTCAACTATATTTAAATAGTATTAAAAATTTTAAAAAAATACTAGAATCATATTTACTAAATTGTATTAGACATTTTTATACATAATTTTAAAGAATTATTAATTTATAATATTAATGAAATTATATATTTATATTATATCAGTGATTTGTTTCATTGACCCAAGTTAAAATTGAAGAAAAATATTATCTTATAAAATTTACTAGTCTCATGTTTAAAAAGAATGATTTATTTTTGGCTTTTGAACAATATAAAAAAGAATGATCATTTCCTTTTATAATACTTTAAATCTTCATGTGTCAGGTTTAGATTAAAAGATCAAAAAATATTTTGACGTAACTTTAATTTAAGATCATATTTTTATAGGAAAAGGGTCTGTCCTTGATGTATTAGAAATGGTACAAAAGTACCCTTCATCCACCTATTGGCTCCAAAATACCCTTCTCACCCACCTATTGGCTTCAAAATACACTTGTCATCCACATTTGGGTTCAAAATTGACCACTTTTTTAATGGTTTTAAATTTAAACTATTTAAATATTTTTTAAAATATGTGGTCTTGTTATAATTTAACTTATTAATATAATTTATAAATGGAAAAATGCATAAATACCCCCTCAACCTATGTCCGAAATTCTAGAGACAAACTTATAATATACTAAGGTCCTGTTACACCCCCCCCCCCCTCCCAAACTTATTTTATAAATAATTTTCTACCCTTTTTCGGCCTATGTGGCACTAGCTTGAAAAAAAATGTCAAACACACGCTGGGCCCACAAAATAGTGCCACATATGCTGAAAAGGGGTAGAAAATTACTTATAAAATAAGTTCAGGGGTAATAGGACCTTAGTATAGTATAAGTGTGTCTCTGAGATTTCGGGCATATGTTGAGGGGATACTTGTACATTTTTCCTTTATAAATCAATCCACTACACACCCATTACTAATTAAACCCCTCGAAATTAATAAATTCGTTACATTATTAACGCAAGAACATGAAAGCTAATTTCAATGAATGTTTTTAAAAATTTAAGGCGAAAATATCTATAGTTAAATTATCATACATTCAAGTGTCTAAATAAAAAAATTGATAAACTTAAAAGTTTAATGATATTCATCTTAATTATTCTTTCGTCTCAATTATGTAATGTTACTTTATAAATAATTTTTTTTTTCAAAATAATATATTAAAGGTTTTAAAACAAATCATAAATATTGATAAAATTATATTTTTTTAAAAATCCAGGAATTAATTTGGGATGTTCTACTTCTTTACAGTTATTAATCAATTTCTAATTTAGGCTCGAAAGAGAATCCTATTGAAAGTGTACTCCTAAATAAGCGGCTCAATCTAAATTTAATTGGGATTTCGATTCGAACTCGAAAAATTTTGAATGTCATTTGCAGAAATCTATAATTTTATTGTGTTTTAATAGTGTTAGTGGCGATTTTGATACTATAATTGATTTATTAATCGGATGGAGTTTAGTTAGTAATGAGTGCGTAGTGGGTTGATTTATGAATTATATTAATAAATTAAATTATTTTCAATAGTTCAACATCAAGTATTTTAAAATATATTTAAAAAAAATCAAATAAATAGTTAATTTTGAACTCAAAGGTGGATGACAAGGATACGTTCGATTCAATAGGTGAATTAAAATAACATTACATAGATGATTGGTAATTTTATATCATTTTCAATACGTATTTTAAACACTTTTCCGTATTTTTATTTTTTAAATTGAATGTTAAATTAAAGGAGAAGATAAAAATGTATAGCGGCTGTACTTTCCGCACTAGATTCCAATTTCAGAGAGGCGGTTGCGTTCCGTCATAAGGAAGATTTTTCAGTAGTAAAAATATCAGTCCAAAGAGTGAGAATAGTGTGGTGTGGATAAGATTAAGAAGATGATGAGGCGATCATTCAGTGGTGGAGGTGGAGGCGGTGGTGGTGGTGGAGGAACTAATGGTGGCGGCATGTTAAGAGCCGTTCAAAGGGCTGTGAGGACAGGTGGCACTATCAACGGTGCGGCCCAAGAGTCCTTCTCTCACTCATCAACCACTAAAACAACCAAAAGTAGTACTACTACTGCCCACGCGTTTCACACCAAAGCGAGTAGTAACGCCGTTTCTCTCTCCTCTTCATCGCCTTTGTCTACTCTTCCGTTATCTGCTGCTGCTGCTGCCGCCCTTGCACCGGCCACCTGGGATTCTTCTTCCGAATCTGAAGAGTGGGAATGTTTAGAGGATAATAATAATAATAATAAAAATAATGGTATTTTATTTGATGATTATATTCTGGGTCCTGTTCCATCAACTGACGAAGTTCATCATGCAGTTTCTGCTCTTCATCAGTGAGTTCCTCTAATTTTCTTTTCTCTTTCGTCTTCTCTTTGTTTGTTTGTTCAAATGTATGTGATAATTTGAATAAATTATAATTCCATTAAAATCACACCATTAAACCAGTTGATTGCTTTGTTTACATGTACAAAAGCTCTGCCATTACAAGTCTATTTTTCACAGATAATTAATGGGTTGTTATGTACGTACGTATTTACATTTGCGTGTCTCTAGGCCCTGGAATATATTATTAGCTGTGAAGTTAACCAGCTTTTGAGGTCAATTGGAATCAAATGGCACTCCTAGTCCGGATTATGCGATAGTGTTCAAATATGGAGAGTTCAACTTTGATCATAAATTTGGAAATGAAATCTTTACTTATAAAATTTACATATTTTGAAAACAATGGAGAAAGAGTTGGTCACAAAAATTCACAAGTTAAAATATTTGTAAGGATATGAAATGATTGTGGTTAAAACAATAACTTGTTTGATGTTGGAAATCTAGAAAGTGTCACGTAGATTGGGATAGATACACAGTAGTTCCCTTTTGTGCCGAATGTTTCAGGAAATAATTTATTTTGTTAAATCTGTGTGACTGAAATGCGGGAGTGTACTGAAGTTGAACATTCCTAGTTATGTGACTCAATCCTACCCCCATAGCAAGTCTTCTTTTTTACTTTTAGTCTGATCTCTCTGTCCTTAAATTTTCTCCAAATAGACCAACTTTAAATGCTTTAGCCTTTTTTACACCTAGTGAATATGGCATACAAGAAGGGATCAATGAAAATGGTTTTTGAATTTCTCAAAGCAGATGGTTACAAATTACAATTATTTCCTTGATGAACAAGCTTGTTAGTAAAATGCTACCAGACTGCCAGTTACATTTTCACCCTGATTGATTAATCTGACATGACAGATGACTACATTACAAGTGAGACCCTACATCTGCTGGTGCGAACCGGTAATAGAAATCTAGAATGTCGAGACATCAATTTGGTTGAAAAAAAATGTTTGATGAACTTGGCCGTGACAGTAAATTGGGTATCAGGAAGTAAGAAGTTCTGTTACTTCCCAATAGCAAGCAGCAAGCCTTTGGTTGTCATCCTCCCAAATCTATGCAAGTGTCATTGTTTGTAAGTAAGTTAATTAAGAGTATTGTTATAATTTTTTGGTACCTAAAAACTTATCTCATTGAGCTCTCAACTAGAATGGAGATCTTAACTAATTTTAGAATCATGCGGAATCTCTGCCTTATTATGATAGGCAACGTTGTCTGGCCTTAGGTCTTCTCCTTCTCTTTCTTTGTCTAAATTACAACATGAGGAATTCAAGGATGTGTTATGAGTTATGACTTATGAGTATATCTTTCTTTTAGCTATATTCCAATAATTTGTACTTCTCGTATATTGCTGCAGATAATAATCTTTATTTTTGTCGTATTTATTGTAAATATTCACTTGCTTTTGTTTATATTGTTGGACTTCCTAGGGTCCTTGAACCAACCTATTTTGCATATTCTACCAACGACGGTCTTGGTTACAAATCAAATGAGGATACATCAAATGAACTCACTAGTTCAATTAACCTGACGCATGAAGTACTCTCTTCCAGTGGATCTGTGTCTGATTGGATTGAACCGTCTATTCATATCTGTAATTCGAAACTGTTACAGTCATATGGATCTAACCGAGTTTATGATGCTTTCTATTTGCTGCAGACTGAACCTTCTATTCAGGTACCTTAAGAGTGCACATTCAGGATTTGTCTTTGAAATTTGTTAGCGTATACATGGATATCAGAAAGAGTTGCTTAATTTCACACTTCTGATTGTAATTGTGGTATAACATGTAGTCTTAGACCTTTTAGTATAGAATACTAAGTTGCTCGGACTCTAAAAATGTTGCCGCCGCACCCGTGTCAGATCCTTCAATAATACACTATTTTTGGAGGATCCGACACGCACCCGTCGACATTTTGAAGAGTCTGAGCAACATAGATAAAATCACAATCCTCTGTTTGATCTCTTTTCAATAATCGAGGTATTGGCTCAACAGACAAAATTCTTGAAGAGAAGTAGTAATTTATCAGTTACACTTGCATTAGATTGCATGGTTATTTTATTTTTTTTGACGACAAGAGAAACCCGCAGCCACTACCCTTTTAGGTGCGCACAAGGTAAAACCCCACTCCTATGCAATAGCTCGCAAACCACATAGATTGCATGGTTATTGTTGTTCGTAACTTATTGAAGATACTAAGATATTGTCCCAATGGTACTAGTTATATTTTTGGGCATACTGATCTTGTTGACCTACAAAGACCTTCCTGATCTTTTTAGAAAATGGTCATTTCACTATCATCTGACAAGGCTGTTTGGGATGCTGTTCTGAACAATGAGGCAGTTCGAGAAATCAGAGACTCGCTGAAACAAGGTTTGTACTACATATGATTTGCAGAGTAATTTGTCTTTGGGAGTGGCCCAAGCATACTTTCCACTTGTAACGACACTGCAGCATCTGTTTAAGCATGTTATGATGACATACTTTTCTTTGCAAGGAATAAAAGCATCCTATCCTGCACAAAGTGCATACTTAGACAATGTTCAATGACGCTAGCTTGCTATGAGCTTTTATTTGCAAAATTTGAATGAGGAAGAATCGTAAGAACTCTCTCAGTATTCATGGTTCAAAAAAAAACTAAGTAAATATAATGAAGTCACTACAAGTACTTATGTTCTTATCTGCAGCAAAAATGGCAGTTGTGGTGGCTTTTATGTCATCAAATAGTATGTTAGGATCTTACCGATATACATGTACTGATTGGATATAAGAAGATTATGATTTTCTATTAACATTAGAAAATAGAAACACCTTATCTCTTTTTATACAAGCATAATTCAGAAGTGTTAATGGTACAGTGAGTATATTTGACTACTCTGCATTTTAGTTGATGCAGCTGATAATGGCTTACAAGCTGGAAATTCTGAGGAGGGTCTCGACAAGTCTGATTCAGATGGGACTGTAGACATAATCGGTTGGATTATTTTGAACACCAAGGAAAAAGTGTTGGAAATAGTTGAGAAGATCATAGATTTTGTGAATGAGTGGTTTCAGCCTCCAGAGGAAGAGAAAACATCAAATGGGGATACTGATCCATTTGAGGAAAAACTGAGAACTTCCTTCTTCCTTTCCATCGTAGTTCTGCTTGTTGTTGTTGTTGCTCGAGCACAATGTGCGTAGACAACATAATTCGACGAAATTACAGTTGGTAGTCCCCTTTCTCTAGAGTGGGGAGTGGCAGTTTACTGTCTGACAGTATATGAAGCAAGAAACCTATTCAGAATTTTCTTGCGTACAGAATAAAAACATTAGCCCAGAATTTTCCTTTGCTTTTGTGGTTTTCAATGATCTCTTCAATTTTACTGTTCTGAGGTAGTTAATGAGTGGCAACTCAACATAATCTAAATGTCCCTTCTTAATATGAACTGAGTCTCTGATGTGATTATTGCGTCTTGCTTATTATTTTATTACAAAGAAAAATGCATCACTTTTCTTCTACTATAAGATGATTTTTTTTGGCTTCCTGATTGGAGTCTTAAAGCATTCAAACTAGAAGTAGTCGAACTTTAATAATTTAATAACTAGAAAAAAAATTTAAAATAAATAGGAGAGTCCTTGCTCACTTCTCTTTTACTAGGGTTATCAATTATTGGTTAAGTTTTTCCATAGATACGACAATATTATATTCTCATTATGTTGATAGAATGACCACATCTTGTTTTGTTTTGTTTCACTTGTGTTCTCAGGTCACCCCTTTGGGATTACCTTGCTTTTTTAATTATTTTCTCTTAATGCTCTTTGTTTTTGTTGTTGACATTTTTTTAAATTATATTCCTCAATCATCATTCAATAATTATTGATCTACGAGATTTCAATTCTTTATATGATCGGGTCTTTGAATGCTACTCGATAAAGATACTTCTTTAAAAATTTTACTAACCTATTCATTTACCAGATGCAGCTGAAAATTAGTTGAAGCATACTGCCAAAGTATTTTTCTACAGACAATATCACTCGAATAGCTGGATTCCGTCAGGTCCATTAACGTCAAGAAGCCATTGATAGTTTAGTGTTTCTGAAGGCTTTCGTCTAAATTTTCAGAACTTTCAATCGGAATTTCTCAGTGTTTACATTTAGTTGTGTTCCCTTCTTTTGCGTATATTGCACCAACAATATTAGAATACACTTTTTAAGTTCAAACTGAGTTTAAGTTTTAATTTAGAGGGGAAATAGCACTATCATGCATTCCAACAGTACGACAAGATCCTTAAATCATCTTTAGAAGAACTTTTTAAGTTCAAACTGACTTTAAGTCGTCCTCTCTTCAGTTCAAACTGAGTTTTAAGTTTTAACTTGAGAGGGGAAATGGCGGTATCATGCATTCCAACAGTACAACAAGATCCTTAAATCGTCTTTAGAAGATTCAGCTGCGTTCTATCAGAGACTTGGTCTGCATTAGACTTTCCAGGCATGAAGAGAAAAGAACTCTTATCATCCGACACCCATATCACAGCAGCACAGCGGCTAACTTATGTAACCACTGGAGATAACTCAAGGTTGAAAACAACTCCATTTTTTCGAATCCAGTAGTCCTTGCTCATTTGTCATTAGGCGCCCCTCAAAATAAACAATAACAAAGTAGAAAAAGAAGAAGAATGCAGTAATTGAGAAAAACAAAAACCTGCTTTTAGACTTCCACCAACCACTAAGCTGATGGTAACCGACATATCATAAACATTGGGAAAATCATGCACAGGACTAACTGAGAGAAAACAAATTGAATAGCCAAATCAATACGGTCCAGTGTTACCAGCTATTTGACAAGCTCCAAAACTAATTCTAGACAGAAAAATGGACAAAGAGAAGATGGTTAGCAATTAAGTAAAACAAAAACATTTTGTCAACTACCCAAAAAAATAATAATTTAGGCATCCACCTTCACTCAAATGATTTTCATGCCCAGGATGTGACCACCAAAACAAAATAGGGACAACCATCTTTACTCACAAACCAATTTTGAGTAGATCCTGATTTCATGAAAAGGACAAAGACGAAAGAAAAATCATGCATAGTTATGCTATAACAAGTAAAAATAGACCCCCATCCCACCCCAAAAGAAATATAGGTTCAAATTCAACCTAAAGAATGCAACTGATACTTCAGAACTAACAAGTGCCTAGATGAGTTCTTCCTGTACGCCTAATATTAACTTGTCCACCAGTGAAACGATGAATGAATCAAGAGATCTTCTGAAATGGGGAGCCATTCCTGTTATCAGTACACGCTACTAACAACCAACTAAAAGGAGTTAGTCTAAAACAGAAGGCCTAAAAAGGAAAAAGAAACAAAATAATACAGCAATAGTGAACCTATATCCAAATATACCAGATGCCAAAACCAACGCTAAACAGAAATACTAAGCTTCGACAAATTATCCAAACTCACCATACAAAAATATGATCGACCACACCAGAAGCTTGAATGGTCCTAAAATCTTACCAAAGACATTTAGGTCTACTAGTTGTCTCAAGAATACCAGACATTTGGTGGATCAGTAAAGAGATAAGAACAGAAACATTAAGGCATTAATGAGCGTAGTTACACAATGAGAACCCACACAAGAAGTCATGTCTCAAGTTCCAACCAAAAACTATCCACAGTTAATTTGTGAACACCTGGGGACAGCATCCCACCCAAGTTCTTTCCCCCAAAAAATTCAATAAATTAACAGAAACATATTACATCTCAAGAAAATGATTGGATGAGAGTAAAGCCCTTAAGAGCAAAAAGTAAAATAACACTTCTAAGGGAGATGTAGCTTGAAATGTCTCAACTACGTATTCACAAGAATAAAAGAGATCTACAAATATATTAATCCTCACGAGATCTCCTATTTACTATGTGATTCAACCACTTTGCCTGCTAGTGCTTTCCATTTCTCTAAGACTTCCGCGCCACAAATCAAAATCTAAGACAACAATGTCAAATTCAAAGTGACTGCTAGCTTCCTGCTAGAGCACTGCTCTTCATTGGAAGACTATTGAAATAGTCATGTACTTGATTCCCACACACCCCACCCCCTTCAAATAAAAATTTCATAGCCAGGTTAGAAATGTCCTAGTTTAGCCCATCACATTTAAATGCTACTAATTCTCACTTCTCCCCATTGGTCAGTTAATTCCCATTTGCACAGAAAACTTTCTTGATAAACATCACAGAAAATCTAAAATAAAGTTCTAACTAGGACTCCCAACAAGATAAGTGATTTTCAAACACAAATCAGCCCAGCACAGGATAACACATTCCAATACAAGCATCTTTTCCTGTCACAAGACATCTGGAAATGTATCAGAATGAGTAATAAAATTAATCTGAAACATGTGAATGCAGTCATCACAGTATCAAATTCACATACCCTTGGGAACCTTCAAAATTTGAAGGGGCATCACCTTTTGGGAGGAATAGCAGAGGCAAGCATCAGACTGCTTTCTAAACTCTCAATAGTTAAATGACCGCACAAAGTAAAAGAGATACCAAGTTAAAGAAATAATCAAAGGAGGATTAGTGGTGAAGAAGCCAAAGTGGAGAGAAACACACAAACTGTGTATGATTAGTCATCAAGAAAATCCAACAAATCATTTAAAATAAAATTTGGAAAACAATGCTGCAAGGCAAACCCCAGAAACGAATCCTACAAAAAGTAAAATTAATGTCCATAATTCACTGATATAATGTCCAACACAAGCTGAATGAACTGAATGTCTCATCTCTCTGCATAATAGTACAACAAGGTTAAAGATGTGAGTTTGAAACTTCCAACAACTAAGTCATGGCAAGAGGGAAGAAATCAGGTGAAATGCTCCAACACATCAGCCTCTCAAAATATTACAACATTAACAAAGGGAGAAGCATTAAGAACGAAAATTATGAAGTAACAAATAAATTATGAATTGCTCACTGCTCTAAAAAAAATAGTGAACAGAAGGGGGAACAAGGTTTGAATATAGATACTTGCAATCAGGAAGAATCCCATATCTTTCAAGAATTCATGAACATACAAACCAATACACACATATTACGTATATATAGAGAGACAGAAAGTCAGGACGCTGGAGAACAGGGCCGGAGAAAATAAGGCATCCAAATTAGAGGGACCCAATTTTTAGTAATAATAGGATTAAAAGATTTTTTTGTTAAATTTTTACTTCCCACATATTTTCAAGACTACAATATTAAATGACATTTTGGTGTACTATACAGACCATAAATTCAAAAATCTCCTCCACTAGTTTAAATTCTGTTTCAAGCCAAAATCCGACACTAGAAGGATAGAGATTTAAAAAGAATCAAACTTTTTGATGTATACATCCTAGCATAAAGATGAGAATGTATATATATGTGTAAATGCCTGAAAACTGAACACCAAACAGCACACAGAGGATATCAAACAGAAAATTTGGAAATAGACTTGGTAAGAAATTTCCAACCTAATAGTGCAGGTGATGCATCAATTGCATCATGACTACATTTCTAACATGAACTTCTCATATTCTGCATCCGCACCATAGGCATGCTTCTCCGCTGATGATGGAGGTGCATGAGTTGGTGGATTCGGAGCCCAGGGAACATTACTCATACCCTGTGAATGGTTCCCATTGGAGTGGGATGCAAATGGAGGAGGGGGTGGTGGTGCGACACCATAATAAGATGGATAGCTGTATGATGATGTTGGATATGCAGGCTGAGCATTAGGTGGCATTGTTGTGACAGAGTTACCATACACATTCTGAGATTGCATTTCAGGAGGATAGCTTTGTTGTGCCTCACCAGGAGATGTGAAAGTTTGTTGGTTTTCACCAGAAGAAACAGTCTGAGCAGGGGCACCAGAAGATGCTGCTGGAATTGAAGGAGGATACTGCATTCCATATGGAGGGATGGGTTGACCTGCGACAGGAGGAGGAGGTGGGTACTGGGCATATGGCGGAGGCACAGGTGGTCCCCATGGAACTGGAGTACCAGGTGGGGGATAGCTACTAGGAGGAGCATTGCCAATAGGACCACCAGCTGCATACTGCTGGGACGGATATGTCCCCATACTCTGATTAGGAACCGGGTATGAAGGCATTGCCGGAACAGGTCCTGGAGGCACAGCAGGCTGAGGCGTCTTACCTGCAACTCTCACAGCAATGGTTCTTCCGTCAAGACGGTGGCCATTCATGCTAGTTATAGCACTATTAGCTTGTTGAACATCCGCAAACTTAACGAACCCATAACCTTTACTCAGACCACTTAGAGGATCCTTTATAACTTTAGCCATCACAGTGGTACCAAATGGAGAGAATAAATTGATCAAACCGTCATCTTCAAGAGTAGGTGGCAAGTAACCTATGTACAAGTTTGTCTCGTCAAACTCCTTTGGCTTTAGTATGCTTGACCCTAAGCCAGGATGTGAACTGGCACCAGCACCACCAGCATTGTTATTGCTTGCCCAAGGAGGATTGCTTCCTGAGTTTCCCGCGCCTAGAGCTAGCGTTGCTGAGCTTTGCTTTGTTAATGATTCAGGAATAGTACCTCCCAACTCTGCCAGAAAATTCTGGTACTCATCATCCATTTTCTTGCCGGTAGTATTTTTCACTGGACAATCGATAGTAGGATGTCCCCCATCACCACATATTTTACAGAGAACTTCACTCTTAAAGGTGGTGGTGCGAGAAGGACATGCATACTGCCTATGCCCTGGTTCACCACATAGCCTACAAAACTCCTCATCTCTAATTGTTCCATTCAAAGCAGCAAGTTCCTTAAGTTGTTGCCTTTTATGTTCATTGAGCACTTCATCAACAGGCTGCAAGAGCTTCTCCACCATAGCGGCAGCAGCTTCAACGGACTCCTGGTTCTCAGCTTCCACCAACACATGTAAATCTTCATTGTCAGCAGGGTCGGGTTTCAAATTCCCCTTTTGCTGGAACCTGCCCTCCTTGATTGACCCTTTGCCTCGAATTACAATCTTTGCTCCTGTCTCCTTTTCCATCCTCTTCTGAGTATTCCCTCTTGGACCAATAATCAGCCCAATAAAATTATAGTCAGGGAACTCCTTCATGGGAATGTAGAGCTTCTTTTGAAGCTTAGGAGGCCTATAATCAGCAGGAGGTTTAAAAGCAGGGTTCTTCTTAATGATTTGTGATATAATCTCTTGTCTCTCCCTATTCAACTTTTCTCGTGCACGAAACTCCCTGGTGTTTATACGAATTCCCATATTATCATATATAGGTTCAGGTGAAGGCGACCTAGCACCTTAAGGTCTATCATCCAAGGGCATACCCGATTGCAATTTCCTACTAATTTCAAGTAATCTACTATTAAGAGCTTGAATTTCAGGATCAAATTCAATACCTCCAGTGAAATCTTTCATGAAATCCGGCAATTGAATAACGGGTTTGGGCCCATCGTCAGCCCACCTCGACTTCCTCTTTCTTCCAGTCCCACTTCCATCACCGCCGCCGGTCCCATCATTGGTAAATTCAGTGGGAGGTGGATCCCAACGGCTCCTCCGTCTCCTTCTACTGCTAGTTTCTTCCTCGCCGCCTGATTGGTCCCTGTCGGTGCCGCTGTGAGTGTTTGTCAATCCGTTTTCCGACAATAACGGCCTCTGAATCTTGAGTTTTTGCTCCTCTGATGCTTGATTTGGACAGGAATTATCAGACGCCTGAAGCTGGGCATCATGGGAAGCTAGGTTTTGTGATGAGTTGTGATCTAGGGTTTCAACTGCGGGAGATTGAGATTGGGAACCCATTGTACATAAACGTCAATTATGGAGGGCAATTCGGAACAGTGCGTGTATTTATAGACTTGTTATTTTTGGTGGTTTAGGTTTGGATAGTATTCTATTTTTAGATAGAAAAAAAGGTGGGAATAGAAAAAAAAATTGGAAAAATCCATTATTTTATTTTTACTTAAAAAGACTCAATATTGTGATATCGGGTAAAAAAAATTAATCCAGGATATGTGTGTTGCGGTGGATTGTTGGATGGTTTCTTTTTAAAAAAAAAAGATTGGTAAAAATATGATATAGTCGAATAAATTATTGGTGACTTTTTATATTTTTGAATTTGAAGATATATATTACTTTAAAATTGACGATAAGGACATATATAGTTTTAAAGTATAACGAAGAATATATACATATTAATTTTGAAAATTTAGAGATATATTTGTCTTTCTCACTAACACTTCAAATTCTAGACTCAATTTGATCTTCATTTCTTCTCTACTTATGATCCTTCTTGTAGGTGTTTTCTTACCTAGTTTTATGTTTTGTATGAAAAATTGTAAAAAATTACGTGATGCTCGATTTAGGTGGTATTGTTGATTAAAGTGTGGTAATTGAAGAATTTTTCTTATTTATTGTTGATTTTAGGTTTGGAGATATTATTTTTTAAGAATTTTATTAGATGTACTTTCGTAATTTTATCAGGAATTTATGCATTTATTTTGTTGGAAGAAATATTTTGTTTTCCTATGGCTTTACTTTGTTATATATTAGTAAATTTTTTCGTGCTTTGCGCAATGACAAAAAATTTAATTAAATATTTTTATTTTTAGATACTATTATAACTTCTTTTGAATTGTTAATCATAAAAAATAAATTAAAAAAATATTTAAAAGTCAAGAAAAAGAGAAAAAATAATAATTATGAGTCTTCATCAAAGAGAAATTTCATTTATTTATATATTTTACGGATCAAGAGAAAAAAAATTTTTTTTTTTGAATAATAATAATATTTAAATCTATTTTCTCTTCAAATTTTATGAATCAAAAGAAAGAAAATAATTAAGGAAAAAGAATAATTAATTATGATGATAAAAAGGAGAGACAAATAAGATTATTATTTTAAAAACTAAAATGTAGAAAAATAAATAAATTATAATAGTATGATTAGGAGAGATGAAAAATATTACATAGATTGTAATAATATTAAGGAGAAAGATAAATAAGATATTTTATATTCTTTAAGTGAATATTATAAATCAAAATAAAGAAAAAAAATTTAAAAATTTAACAAGAAAGACAAGTGATAATTTTGACCAAAGTGAGGCATCGCGTCATTCTTTTATATCAATCTTCAACTATAACTCTAAAATTTGATCAAAATAAAATTTATTTTCATATAATCAAAATAAAATTTATTTTTTATATTTATATCGTAAATGTTTTTTGTGAAATTATCTCTTCTTATTTCTTTTAAAAGTCAAACACTTCCTATTATTAAAATTTATTGTTTTTTCATCATTGCTATAATTTAATATTTTTTCTTAAATTAGATTTTTTAGCCTCTACATTTTTATAATTTTTAAAAATATAAAATTTTATTTATCTCTCCTCCTTATTTTCATAATTTATAATTATTGTTGAAGAAATTTTATTCTTCAAATTTTTTTTATTGATCTATAAAGTCAGTAAAAAAAAATTCAAATAACTTAATTGTCCCTCTCCTCACATTACTGCAATTTATCACTTTTTCTTAGACCCTTTCGTTTACCTTCTATTTTTTTAAAAAAATTATAGGAATAATATTATTATTTATTTTTCTTCCTTACTATCATGCTTAATTTTGTTGCTATTCTCTTTTACTCTTTTTAAACGTTGTAGAATTTAAATTATAATATTAATTCTAATGTAGTAATCTCATATTTTGTTGTTATGATTTACTAAATTCATTTGTTTTACAAATTGAGGAATTATGATTATCTTAATAATTTGAAGACACGTGATAACTTAAAAAGATGTGATTATTTTTTTTATTTCAAAATAATTAATATAATTTGTATGCATATGTTATAACAATAAACTTTTTTTTGATTTTATTTTTTAGAAAAGACTCAACTTTATTTCTATGAGCATGCTGATAAAGTTTGTTTAGGAAGTTTTTCCCAAATTTGTTAAAGTATATAATGCCTCGAATTTTTAGTTTCTTCAAATACTTTATATTTTTTATGTAATTGGGGTTGTATATCTCTCAATCTCTCTCTATATATATAAATAAAAAAAATTATTTATATCTCTTTTGTATTACCATAAATAATTATTTTTTATTCACAAAAGCTCCTTTTTTCTTAATTTTTTTCTTTCTTTTAATTTATAAAATTTGAAGAAAAACGCAAACGTTAAATATTTTTGTTAATATTCACAAACTCTCTTTTAAAAAAATAAAAATAAAAAAGTTCTCTTGATAAAAATAAGATATCTCTTGATTTTTAAATATTTTTCTCCTTTATATTTTATGCTAAAAAAACTCAAAAGAAGTTATCTATTTTCTTGATTTTTAAATATTTTTCTTATTTATATTTTATGTTTAAAACTCAATAGAAATTATAAAATAGTATCTAATTTAATAGGGATAATGTCCAAGTACCTCCTTAACCTATGCCCGAAATTCCAGAGACACATTTATACTATACTAAGGTCATATTATCCTCTTGAACTTATTTTATAAGTAATTTTCTATCCCTTTTTGGACTACGTGGCATTATTTTGTGGGGCCAACGCTTATTGACTTTTTTATTCAACCTAGTGCCACGTAGGCCGAAAAGGGTAGAAAATTACTTATAAAATAAGTTCAGGGGGTAACAGAACCTTAGTATAGTATAAGTGTGTCTCTAGAATTTTGGGCATAGGTTGAGCGATTCTTGTATATTTTCCCCAATTTAATATATAACATAATTAAAGTATTACCTTATTTATCTCTCTTTCTTATTTTTACTATAATTTATTGCTTTCATCTCTCCTCATCATGATTGTAATTTACTAAT